ATCTATCCATCTATCCATATATATATATATATATATATATGTATATATCTAGGTTTTCATTTTATTTTGACTTAATTGAGTCTATATAAGAGGTAAGATAGAACCGGATAATCTTCTTGTCCTAGTATTAACATAAGTCCTTTACAGGAATGACACCTCGCTCTGATGATGTCCATCATTTGATGGACGAAAGCTCAGCCCGTTTTAACCCGAAACGCGGGAAGATATCTCGTGGACTGCGTCAGCCTGAACATCGTATAAAAGCCAAACGGCTGCAGTACAACGCGATTCAGCCGTCCTCTTCTTCATGCACTTTCCTACGAAATTAAAATCCCACTAACAATGCTATCTCACGAGATTAATTGAAACGGAGTTTCTCTTCATGAATTTGCCAAACATCTCATCCAATGTCTGATGCAAAAATAAAGGTTTTATAAATCACGTATGTTTGCTGCCTGCCACAATTTTTGGCTTGTTTAATTGAAATTTTACTAAAGAACCAGAGAAAGTTCAGTTTGGTTAAAACGGTTTCTTGTGCGCACAAATCAACTATCCTTACTTCAAAGGCATCCTCCCTCAGCTTCTGATGAGGCCAAATTATAAATCCATTCTACTTACCTTTTAATTAATAATGCATGCTTCAAAAAATGGAATATATCCTTCTAAGCTATTTCTTCACGCCAATGTCTAAAGGAAGCCTATTCATATACCCTCAATAATAGTAAGATGAAATTCGGGAACTCCGTCGGTGGATGGTCTCGCGTCGTCAAGCGCCATGATCAAGAAAGAAAAAAATCCTCACACCCTGATAAAACCGGATACACTATAGAATCCAAGTCTACGTCAATACGGCATGTAGATGGCCCTAGCGGATAAACAAGATCCAATTTTTCATATCGAATAGTATTTTTTTCGTGATCCTATCTTATACCTCAAAAAAGCTAATGAGTTTGCGCTGAATCCTCTCCTTTATCTTCGGAGTTAGTGGGCTTCTAAATTATCAGTAAGTCTGTATTTAACCCAGGTCAAAGGTGATGAGTAAATCTTGTGATGTCATTACATTTCACGTAGTCTTACCTATCAAAAGGTGTTTTCATCTCGACTGTACTGTACTGCGGTTTAGATATCGCCTGGAGCTGATCAGCATCTTCAACTGGAATTGAACCTATTGGTACTATCGAAGCCTCTTCACTCCCAATATAAGTAATGCAGCTGGGTTTAATGACAAATACACGTTTGAGTCAGCGACAATCCCACTCCGCAAATGGGATATCCGAAAACCTGTCCTCCTGTCATACGCATGTTTGCATCATGACCCCAGGGCACTCGTAACAATGTGGCATGTTGGTTAAAGTGTCGGAAATGTACAATACCACAATTTAGGTTAAAGTCCGGCTGGGGTGCTGATGGGGCTTGAGTGAGGTCGAAATTGCAGTCCAGTCAAGCCTGGGTGAAAATACCTTTTGGGAATTAAGGCTGCGCAAGATTCCGTCGAGATTAAGGCCTACTCATGTTGTTGTTGGTAAATTCGTCAATTAGTCCTTCCTTATCTTAAGCCACTGTTTCCCAAAGAGCCTCAGATTAGGTCTTTTTGCAGTCAAGGATGTTCGAGGAAGCGATGCATAAAGCGGCAAATTGTCGTCAATCCAGTGTGTTTCCAGCTGGCTCTATCAGTCGAAACGTATCACCCAATACCACACAGTTATCGTCTTTTTCAGAAGATCCGGCCTGACAAAAGATTAACTCATCTGGAGTCGACAGCACTTTCCACCTTGCTTCATCGTCTTTCATCATCCGGCCATCGAGCCCGGATCGTAAGTATCACGGGGACTCTACAACTCGACGACACAGTCACGTGGACCAGTGGGTCACAGGGCAGACGTGACATCACGGCAGGCCAGACTTCACGAAAACTGCTCATGAACCAGCATCGAATCCCGCTGATGTGGCTGAAGAGAAACGATACAGCCACGTTGAAACTGCAATCGAGGCTCGATGAGATAACACGAAATGTATTCACCCCATCGCGTTTCGCGTGATGAAGCAATATTAGTTGAATCTTCCCACAATCACAAGAGTAAATCTTACGATTCCATTGCATTTCACGTTGCCTTGATTTCCCAAAAGTTATTCTAACTCGGGCTTGCGTGGACTGCATTTTCGACCTCGCCCAAACTGATCTCGTCAGCAGTCCCGATAGGACTCGAACCATGACAGGGCAGCGTACAATCTCGACAAGTTCAAAACTGCGTTCTACTACTTTCCGGAAGAGAATACCTTTCGGGAGGCAAGGTTCTGTCAGTTTGGCGCGAAGCGTAAGGTCTACTTGCATGATTGTGTGAAAATTCCACCATCAGTCCTTCATTATCTCAACGAAATATGGCGAATACATACCGTATATGTGATCTAGTGTTTTTCTCGAAAGCCTACTTATAGACGAAAAATAGATTGAGATAATCTTTTGGGAGGCAGGGATAAGTGAGATTTCTCGACATCCTGGAAAACTCAGCTCTCAGTCCTTAGTCCACCTCAAGCGACCCAGGCCGACTGGCTTCTTATTTCAGCATTACTGCTAGTCTTGAAAGCTAGGCACATCGAATAGACGTCTTAAGACTTCCTTAGGCACATTTCTACTACGACTGTATCTATGACATTACTACTGACCATATTCTCAGTAGTCATTACGCCTAGAACATCATCTTAACCGGCTCAAACTGACTCAGACTTTTACTCAAAGTCTGTACATATTTTCAAAGTCAACTCAAAGCATGCACGCGTTCATATCAGCCGCCATAAAAGGTCGTATTGACCTCGTTCATTAATACATACCAGAGTTGGTTATAAGCCCATACTCCACAGTTTCTGGTGGGCACAACAAAGTGAAAAAGGGTAGAAACTTAAGAAGTTCCTTGGAAACTCGAGAAAATACCATCTTCTGGCGGCTGTCGGTGCCGTCGGCCGCTGTCAGCATAAGTTGCTGTCCAGTGAACATGTCGATCGGTGCAAACGGTGACGGTCTAGTACGGACCTGGAGGACAGGACGTCCGTTCGGTCCGTTGCCGAGGTCTCTGCGCCGCGAAGTGACAACAGCTCCTTCTGCGACGTGTTGATGGGCCGACATTGCTCGCATCCAGTTGGCGCGCACCTCGACCGACTGGCGGGCGTAGTTGGCGGGCAGGAATGTCTCTCCACGACAAACCAGGCAGAAGACACCCCCTCGATGGAGATCGCACAAATGGAAGATCTGAAAAATGCAAAGCCTAAGTAAGCAATGCTGTAGTGGACGGGAGCAATCGCTGCTCCAACGCTCTAATTCGTGAGAAAAACAAGAAGAATTATGACGTCTGTATCGCCAAATATCTACTAGCCGGCATCCGTTGTTTAAATGAACAGGATAACATCAGCAAGACTGAAATAAGCAAAGGTACAGTTTCAGTCCATTGCTGAACGAAGCAACTGATTGATTGCATTGCCAACTGATGAGTGGTATAAGAAGATTGGTAAAGTATAAAAGGATGTAGTAGACCCTAATCTGGGATGGAATAGTATGAGTTGCTTTCACCCTATATGGTTTAAGGTGATAAAAGACAGGTAGTTGATTTTTCCCACAATCATATGAGTAGAGTTGACGTTCCCAATCAGTTTTGCATAGCCTTGCTTTCCCAAAAGTTGTTATCACCCAGACAGAAGTGGACTGCAGTTTTCACCTCGCGTAGGTCTTATCAACACCCAAAGCGGGGGTCGAACCATGACAATGCAGCGTGTAGGCTTGAGACGTTAAACACTACGTCTCATTGCCACGAGTGGCCTTGAGTCACAGGGCACATGTGAATTTCAAGTAGGGCCAGACCTTTTCCCATATCACATGCTTGGGTGGGATTGTTATTGAAATCGACGACGTTACTTTTATCGTAAATGAGTAAGCTTTTCAGACTACCAGTAAATCGGAAAAAAGAAATGTGTTGACCCTATTTCGTTTAAAGTGATGAAAGCCTGGTAGTTGAGTGTTGGGGTGTTACTAAGACTGTCGTCCACTGTAGCCTGAACGAGAACACCTTTTGGGGAAGCAAGGCTATGTTAAAGTCAATAGAAACGTCAGTGTGAAAATTCAACTTCCAGTCCTTCATCGCCTTAAACGAAATAGGGCGAACACAAATCATATATCTGACTTACTGGTAGACTCGAAAGCCTACTCATGTACTAAAATAGAGTATATTGTTAGGGGGACTTTGATTTCGTATGAAAGTGCATGAAGAAGCTATTCGTTGGTCGATCTCACCAGATAAGGACGGATGAATCGAGTTGTACTTTGGTCGTTTGGCTTTTATACCACGTTCAGGTTGACGCAATCCACAAGACATCAGCCCTCGTTTCGGGTGAAAACGGGCTGAGCTTTCGTACATCATATGATGTGAAATTCAATTGAAGTGTCAGCTCTACTCATATCGTTGTGGGAAAATTCTACTACCAATCCTTCATCACTTTAAACGAAATAGGCTGAATACCTATCATATTACTGATTTACTGGTAGTCTCGAAACTCTACTTAAATACGAAACTAGGTAAGAAAGAGCCGGAAAATGTTCTTGGCCTAGTGTTGCCGTGAGACTTTTACAAGAATGGCACCCAGCTCTGATGATGTCCGTTTTCACCGAAACGACGGAGGAAGTCTCGTGGACTGCGTCAACCTGAACATCGTATAAAAGCCACACGATTGCAGTACGATGGGATTCATCTGTCTTCATCTGGTGAGATCGACCAACGAAATTCTTCTTCATGCACTTTTATGCGAAATGAAAGTCCCCTAACAATGTTATCTCG